AGAGGAAGTGAAGGAAGAAGGGAAGAGGAGAGGAGGTGAAGGAGGAAAGGAAAAGGAAAGGAGGTGAAGGAGGAAAGAAAGAGGAGAGGAGGTGAAGAAAGACAGGAAGAGGAGAGGAGAAGCAGGAGGAATGGAAAAGGAGATGAGATTAAGAAAGACAGGAGGAAGAGAGGGGGTGAAGGAGGAAAGGAAGAGGAGAGGCGAGGAGGTAAAGGAGTAAAGGCAGGGAGGTGGAGGACGAAAAGAAGAGGAAGAGCAGGAGGAAGGGAAGAGGAGAGGAGGAGCAGGAGGAACTCCTCTTTTGAAATCCTGACATGTGAAAACTTTCATCCCAAACAAGATGAAGCAGCCGGACAGAAGCTAGCGGGGTTAGCTAGCGGTTAACTCTAGGGGTTAGCTAGCAGTTAGCTAGCTGTTAGCCAGCAGTTAGCGGTTAGCTAGCAGCTAGCCGTTAGCTCCTCTGATCTTACCGTGCCTACGATGTGGGCCCCCAGCATCCGGTCGGTCTCCTTGTGGCTGAGGATCTTGACCAGGCCGTCGGTGTCGGCGTTGGTCTTTGCTCGGCTGTTAGCGGCGAACGGGAACTTGCCCACTTTGTACGGGACGCCCTGGGAAAAGACGGGGGGGGGTCACACCAGAACCTCATCCACGTGTTTGAACCTGTTCGGGATTTTTCATAGAATCCACGGAAGGGTCATATGGTCTTGTTGTCTTTCTTTCTCTTTCTTTTTTTCTTTTTGTTTCTTCTCTCCCCCCTCTTTATCTTTCTAAAGGATCTCTCTCCTTTCCACTGCTCTTCTTTCTTCCCTTTCCCTCTGTCAGGTTCGGCATTATTGGACACATGGAAGTTTGGTAACAAAAATGAATAAATAAAGCAGTTTCGGGTAATCAAGGGGGGCTTCTCACTAACAAAGCCTCCCTTGGGCAAAGCAATTTTGTTCAGCATAGCACGGTACTCAGTCACCAATGTGTTTGTCTTTGTATATTTCGATAGTTTGACTTGTTTTTATTCTGTAAAGCACTTTGGTCAGCTCCGGTTGTTGTAAAGTGCTATATAAATAAACATTGATTGATTGATTGATTGATAATGCTGAACAGGACAAGATATAAAAAATTTAAATAAAAAAAAAAAAAATAAAAAAAAAAGTTAAAAAAAAAAAAAAAAAAAAAAATTAAAAAAAAAAAAAAAAAATAAAAAAAAAAAGTTAAAAAAAAAAAAAAAAAAAAAATCGACGGAAGGGGGCTCACCTCCTCTTTGAGCTGCTCCTCCGTCTTCCCCACCCAGGCCACCTCGGGGTGTGTGTAGATGACCGAGGGGACGCAGTTGTAGTCTATGTGCACGGCGCCCCCTGCCATGCCCTCCACGCAGATGATTCCCTCGTCCTCCGCCTTGTGGGCCAGCATGGGGCCGGCCACCACGTCCCCGATGGCGTAAATACTGACGGGGAGAGGGGGAACAGGTTCATAAACATCCACATCCACTGGTGTCTCCTCCAAGAATTCAGCCAAAAATCATTTGAACCATGGGTTTTCCGATCTGAAAACCCTAAAAAAAACAGCGTCCAGTCCCTTTAACTCATTGGCTGCCGAAGACGTCTATAGACGTCTTTTATGTTTTTCAACGAGAGTGGCTTGGGGGACGATCTGGAGTGGGTAGTTTCTGACGTCATTAGCTCTAGCTCATTATAATATTCCAGCCTTTCACCTGCATGTTGCCCCCCCCCTCAGCTTACTCCCCTATCTGTGGCAGACGTCGTGGTAGCGTGAGCGTTTGCATGGTAGCGTTAGCATGGTAGCGTTAGCATGGTAGCGTTAGCATGGTAGCGTTAGCGTGCCGACGTGGGCACACCTCCCGGAAGAAGTGGGTGGATTGCCTGTGTCTCATTTGCATTCAAAGAGACAGGCACTCCAAAGCGAGCGCTCTGAACGGGGCTGTTTTGGCAGGGTTAGGGTTAGGGTTAGGGTTAGGGTTAGGGTTAGGGTTAGGGTTAGGCAGGGGGACTGAACTGCTATTGGGCTTCATCCTGATGGCAGACGTCGTGGTAGCGACTTGACTGAACTGGACTGGTTTGAACTGGTCTGGGCCGGTACCTGGGCACTTTGGTCTGGAAGCGCCCGTTGACGGGGATGCGTCCCCGGTTGTCCAGCTCGATGCCCACGGCCTCCAGCCCCAGGCTCTGGGTGTAGGGCCGCCGGCCGATGCAGACCAGCAGCACGTCGCAGGTCAGGGTCTCGTTCTTCCCTCCGGCCGCCGCCTCCACCCTGGAAAAGCACAGAGCACGTCGTCATGGAGACGGTCCCGAGGTTAACCCTAACCCTCTCAAACTAAACCCTCCTCAGTCCTCAACCTCCTCCCTTTACAGGAAGGGCCTTTTTTTTTATAAATGTTTTTACTTGTACATATTGTGTCCTAAAACCAGGCTGCTATGACAACCACATTTCCCTTCAGGATGAATAAAGTAATCTATCTATCTATCTATCTATCTATCTATCTATCTATCTATCTATCTATCTATCTATCTATCTATCTATCTATCCATCTATCCATCCATCTATCCATCCATCCATCCATCTATCCATCCATCTATCTATCCATCTATCCATCCATCCATCCATCTATCCATCCATCTATCTATCCATCCATCCATCCATCCATCCATCTATATATCCATTCATCTATATATCCATCCATCTATCTATCCATCCATCCATTCATCCATCGAACCATCCATCCATCCATCCATCCATATATCCATCCATATATGGATATCCATATGGTGGGAATTGTTGGGTTTCTGTAATTAACTTCAGAGTCGGGTCTGACCTGCTCTGTTTGGAAAGCGCTGTGAGACAACTGTTGTTGTGATGTGGCACTATATAAATAACATTGAATTGAAAATTGAATTGAATATATCCATCCATATATCCATTCATCTATATATTCATCTATATATCCATCCATCTATCCATCCATCCATCCATATATC